TTTTTTTCATCTCTGCTAAACTGTGAATGGATTAGTGTGTTTACGTTGAAGACAGACAAACGCAGAGGCAGCCGCACAAAGATAAATGAGGAAGTGTGTGAATGCATTCGGTACAACTGTGCGGATATTGTTTGTGGACCTTTCAGCTCAACTAAATCCTTGTTTCAACATTCTGTCCTGGCTGGAATGTTGCCTGTAAGGCTCTTTTTAAGTGTTTGCTTCTAAATGCCATCTCTGCTACACCCCATGAAACTGTCTTAATCCACCTTTTTTTTCTCCGTTGGTTTTATTACTGCTGGAAAGCACAATGGGGGTAAGAGCAGAGCCCCAGCCTCAGGCCTCTATTCCCATTCCACACACCCCGTAAGTCAGTCACAGATAATTAAATAGGAGTTATTTACATTCGTTTTCCCCTCCTCTGCCTTCAGTGGCGCTTTTATCATTCCTCTCTTTCTTTTTTGGTACAGTACAGCACGCAGCTAGGCCCTTGTCAGAGTCTGGTTGACACCATGTGAAGGCCTGTTGAAGTGTATAATAAGTAGAAAAGGAAAATTGAGACTCTCACATGGGCTCAAATCAATGTCAGCCCCTCATTAAACAATCAAATCTCCACCGCAGTAATCCCCTGCCACAAAATGCCTCAACACTTCCAAACATGGAGCAAGAAGACAAACGAGCAGATGAGGATTTGCTGGAGCCAGGTCTGAAGTGTTCAGCTGCCTAGTGTCAGCGTTATATATTTACCCTGGAGTCAGTCAAACAGCAGCTTTTCAACACAAGGATGAATTAGGCCCCGCCGCAGAGCTATGGCGTCTATTACAGGCCTCGGCAGCTCTATAAATCATTGGATCACAGGGGCATGTGGGGTCTGCTCCTCCTCACTTCTGCTCCGCCTCCTCAGACCCTGTCAGCCCCATTCTGGAGGTTTTGTTTGGCTTCTGTTCCAGTCGAGCCCACCGGTTTGATACGACCACGGAGCAGCATGGAAATGCCCCCGAGGGCCGTGTGGGACCTGGGCATGCTGAGAAGTCCCTTTAGCAGCAGAGCCGTCCCCTTAAAATACCCACAACAGGAAACAGCCATCAGTCATCAACACGCCAAAACAGCTGTTACCAGCCTACATCAAGGGGACACATGAAAGGAGCTGCTCCCTGTTGTTTGAGCCCTCCCTTGTTTCATTCTCTCGCTGCCTTTGTCTGGTTTTTCCCACTGCCCTCCTCTTTGGTCTCCCTTTTAAACACCCCCTCTTCCTTATGCAACCCCACCCACTCACACTGCAGTGACTTACCATCATAAGAGCGACTGTGATCAACAAGAGTGCTGACAAAAAGACATGCATCTCAGAAGTTTGCCTTTTTACCTTTCTCAGTTCTTGACGCCTTCAGACGACTTCTTGTAGGAATATCACGTTACTTTCTCAGTATAAGGAAAGAAGTTTGTTACAGAACAACAATAGACTGTAGTGTAGTCATAGTTGGAGTTGTTTTTTAAGACCCTTTTAGGCCATTCTTCTCTGATGAAACTAATTTTTCCAGGTTTCGATGGTCTTTTGTTGTGGACTCTGCTCTTCTGGTCACTTGAGATAATTTCTATAGGATTTAGGTCAGGGCTTTGTAACAATACAGTGACATTAAAATGAGTTTGTGACATTTGAAACCTTTGATAACTTTGTGAAACCATGTTATTTTAAATTGTTTTTAATATAGTTTTTTTTTTCTAGCCAAAAGCTGAACCAAAATGTACATGTTGAGCAACGCTGTTACAGTGACCTTCTTATGAAATACAATAACAGTTAATGGTGAAAGGCTGCCATTGCTTTCTTCAACTGTACCTTTAAATTTTACAGTGATAACGCAGTTGCTATGTGTCACCTGTTTATGTGTCTCAGCCAGCAGGGTGGTGATGGATGGTTTTAAACAAACAGGCGGATTCAAAGGGCGATTGTGCCACACTTAGCCCCGCCGGCGTGCACATTTACACACACATACTCAGGGATCTCTGCAGGCCACTGAAGCCTGAGTGGCAGCGTGTGGGTGACGAGTGATGGCTAAGCCTAATGATGACAGGCCGAACAGTGACTCTGCTGAGTGAGGCTGACGCGACATCATCGCCCTGACTTTCCCCCCTCAGCTGCAGATAAATAATGTCAGACGTTAACGCGGGCGTGTGCAAGACAAGACAGGGTTTTTGGTCCAGCTGCCGCCCTGAGACAAGTTCTCTGTGGCTTATCACTTTTATTTATTTTCCATGTTTATGATGCTTCTGAGATATCTTTAGTTAATTTAAGTCACTTGTTTTATGTTTGACCATCTGGACGTAACCTTTGCTGTAGATGCCATACTACTTTTTGCTAGAGTACTATACTTAGGGTGATTCTAAGGATGTGTTTATCTAGTTTTCACCTGCATTCATGTTTTAAGCTTTTTTTTTTTTTTTTTTGGAGAGGTTGGTCCGATTGTTGCCCAACATGTGTCTAACAGAAAGAAAGAAAGAAGTTATTTGTCCCCCCCAAAAAAAATCCTTTAAAATCCCAGTAAAATTGTTTAAACCAAATAAACATTTTATAAGCTGACAAAAAATATCAATATAAAAAATACCTTTAAAACAAACAAGATGTAAACAAAAACATTTGAAATGTGTACATCCGATGTACACGTGATTTTGTGGTGCATTGTGGGATACATTGAGTGTCTGATACAGTAGACAACTTCTAATCAGTCAACATTTGAACACCACTACAGAACGGCCTGGCCCCATATTGTGCCAGTGTGAGGCGTAGGGGCGGTTTCCGACACAGCCTTAGACGTCACTGATTTTGAAAAAAGAAAAAAAAATGTGTCTGTAAAACGTCAGACTAGCTCAAGTGTTAAACCTTGAAAGAGTGGCTTGTTGTGGTTTATGTAAGCTCCAATCAATAATCTGTGACACTAATTTAAACAGACTAGATACACCAGTGTCGTAGTATGTTGAATAGTCCATCAGATTTATAGCCAAGTGATTCAAAAAATGTTGGAGGAGTGCTGAGACCAAGCTGGAAATCCCCCTGAAGAACACTCTCTGTTTCATTGTTTAAATAGAAAATAAAATTAAGTTAGCAGCCTTCATCATGTGGAGACGAAGGTGTATTGACTCTCTGTTTGCACTGATTTATGACCATGCTCGTGGTGAGAGTAGAAAAGATGCAAATGGTAAAAAAGAGCCATTAACATTGTGAATCCCTTTGAGTGTGTGACCTTCATGCAAGAGGTTTTTTTAACTGCAACATGATTTTGTCTCAAATTGTCAAATTTTCTTTAATTAAATATGATTTTTTTTTTACATTGGAAGGAAAGTAGAAGATAAAGCACAACTAGAAGTTGTAGATTCCAGATTATTGGACATCACTGCTGATTGACAGTCTCCAACTGTAAGCACACACCTGTTCTTAATCCCTTTTTTCTTCTTATTGAGAACAACTATTCCAGTATGTAGTCCCCGAAATTTCCATTAAATAAGACTTTAAACTGCTGTTTATTACCACACCATAAAATGTTTTACTGACTTTACAAATGAACTCAGACATATCTTAGTTTTATTTTCTCATTCTCATAAGGAGTTATATCCAGAGTTAAAAACTGCATTTCCAGTCTGAGCCTGCTATTAGACTTCAGAGCCATAATCGGGAGCCAGATGGCTTAACTAAAACATTCATTTCCTTAACTTTATATTTAGTTTATTAATACGCCCCGCAGCATCTTGTCTTAATTAGCATCATGTAACACAGCCTTAAAATTGCACTTGTGTTGTAATTTCTGTAAGTTTCCGTCTCCTCCAAGGTCCTTTTGGATAGTTTATGATCACGCTGCAGACAGTAACTGTTTAAAACAACCTGTTCTTTTTTTATTATTATTTTTAAACATTCAATCGGTTTTTGCTTTGATCCATTTTAGCATTACAGGACAGATTTTTTCTTTCTTTCTCTCTTGCAGCCTCATTCTCTCCAAATCTATTCCACATTCTTAAATTATGAAATGAAATGAAAATTACTTAAGTCAACATTACAACACAAGCAATAACCATGTATTTTGACACATTAGTACTGACAGTGGATTGTGTAATTAAGCAAAAGGAGGAAGGCTGCAAATAAAGAGCCCTCCTGGGATCAATATAGTGTCTGTATTTACCAAAACATTTATAAAATGCTGCCAAATGACAAATGATTGATGAAGGTTGTTCAGCAAATGAAAACAGATGAGTGGTGTGACGACGCACTGGAGTTGCAGGTACGAAGGAGAGAGTAAAATGGAGCCCATATGGATTTGGTTCATAGGTTACATGTCAGTTCCCACATGTAGATGATGGCTGTAAGGTAGGCTAACATAGGCAACATCTCTGAGGTCAACCAGTTCTAGCTGTGACTCAAGTCACCAAATGATCTGCTCCAGGTGGGCTTAATACCCTACATGGTGTTCTGTCTTAACAGAACAGAAGATTCCAGGGCGTCTCTTCTGTAGCAGTGAACTTATTATTATTTCTATTATTATTTTCATTATTTTCCAGGACTCTTGTTAAAGACACATTTGGATGATTCTATAGTGTGGTGGGTTCAAGTCCCAGTGGAACCATGTACTTAATCCTCCTCATATAAGTAGCTTTGGATATCAGTGTCAGCTAAATAGATAAATAATATAATTGATTTTCAATTCCAGGATTAACTAAATCATTTACAAGGTTTTGATACATGTTGGGCTTTTTAGATTTTAGTTTCAGATTAGTTACGTACTAAATGTTGAAATATATATCGTTTTGTTTGGTTATTTTTTTGTATGATATTGACACTTTCAGACATTCTGATAAATCTTCTGCGGTTTTTTTTTTATGGTAGTAATAATAAAAGATTTGCATTCAAAATGTCAGTGCGCAACGGCTTCAGGTTTTTCATACGCAGGTCAGGTCACTGACACACATACTTCAAATGAGGGTGACACCAGGCGAAAGAGAGAAAGAGAGACAGAGGGAGAAGTAGAGACCACACCCCATCGTTTAGTCCCGCCTACACCCGGGACACAGACCTTTGTGATTGGACGTCGGCTTCTGCTTTGAAGTCCCTCCTCTCATGTCCACAGTATGTGGACGAAGTGAGAGACTGAATGCAAACAGACACACGGAGCGGGCGACACTGACGCACACCAGCACATACTGCTCGGTTGCAGGGATATTTCTTCACTCGAGTCTTATTTTGCATCAGCATTGACTATTCTGGGTTGATTCGACTTAACAGCTGTTTTGTTTTTTAAAGGATTACATAGCTTGATATTGAAAAGTCAAAAAAGGATGACGTTTATTCTTTTTTAGGGACAGTTTGGCTCGGACGCGTAAAACGCGCTTTGCGCACAAGCCCGTTTGGATTAACCGCACTCGTCTTGCCATATGCTTGAATTTTTGACATGATGACGTCTAGTAATCTATAAATTCATCCCTACATCCGCATCTCACATGTTTCCGACACACATTGCAAGCCGATCCTGATGAGAGATCCCCCCAGTGGAGTTGAACCGCTTTTACGCAGCGAAACCCCGGAGCGCAGCGCACACACCGCCGAGGTCAGCGGCACCTCACAGCGGACAGGAGCGGAGAGGCACTCTGTTCTCACACCTACGTTCTGTCCTTCGCCCTCGGATCCTTTGCGTCAAGCTAAAAGGCTTCCAATCCGGATAGTAAAGATGTTGACGGCGCACAGCGGCCACTTACTGCACCCGGAGTATCTCCAACCCCTCACCTCCGCTCCAGTCAGCATTGAAGTACGTATATATTTTTTAAAACTTTTATTTTCTTAAGCATTTTTAGACTTCATTATTGTTTTACTGATATGAATCTGAACCGTAAATATTTGTAAATATTAAGACGCTGTTTTTCCTAATTTGATGGAAAATGTTTCTCGTATGGCTTGGTAGTAAAACAGAAACGCGTCGAGATGTCGTTATTATTCTCAAATTAATTGTTGTAAAAACGCAGTGTAATAGAATGTTATTGCTTTTATTTTTCTACAAATGAATATATATTTATTTATTCACAACGAAGTGTTGAGTTGTCATTAGTATTTGTTGGAACATATGGTGCTTAAATTGAATTAAAAGAAACAAAAACACTTTGTTCACTGCCCTGTTCTCCATATTCTTCCTCAGCTGGATGCCAAGAAGAGTCCTTTGGCTCTCCTGGCCCAGACCTGCTCTCAGATTGGCAAACCAGACCCTCCCTCATCTTCCAAATTGGCCTCCCTCTCCTCCAGTGGCTTGGGAGACAAGGAGTCTTCCATCCGCTCATCCAAGAATGGAGAGCAGCACCAGTCCCTGGAGGACAAATCAAGTTTCAAGCCTTACTCCAAGTCATCAGGAGACTGTCGCAAGGATGTTCTGGTGACAAAAGGGCCTTCAGACAAAGCAACTTTCAGGGTGCCAAATGGAAGCTCCAATGGTAGCAATGGTTCTGTGTGTCCATCTTTCCCTTCCCATTCCCAGTCACCAACTTCCAGCTCTCCTCCTCTGCACACTCAGAGCCAAACTCAAAGACAAAGCCATTCCCCCTCCACACAACCCCTGCCACACTCCCAGGCTTCACACATAGACAACAAACAATCAAACTCAGAACAGGCCAGCACAGACAACAGCAACAGTGCTGGGAAAAAAGACTCTGATTCTGCCAAATCAGGTATGGATGGGGCTCAATTAGCCAATTCCAGCCACATCCGGGCCAGCGCCAACTCTAGCAATGCCAGCTCTGCCAGCAGCCCAAGGCCTGAGAGTAAGACTGCAGACCCACAGGCCTCTACACAGGCAACATTGGCACCTGGGCACATCGCCCCGGTGTCTCCCTTCAAACCTGGACATTCTGTCTTCCCTCTGCCTCATGGCTCCATGGGCTACCACGGCTCCATTGTCGGGGCCTACGCTGGGTACCCGTCTCAGTTTGTGCATGGTTTGGATCCTACAAAGTCCACTTTGGGAATGGGACTTACGGCCAAGCACCCCAGCTCCAGCCCATTGACTGGAGCCTCGCCTCCATCACTGATGCAGGGCTTATGCCGGGACCCCTACTGCCTGACTTACCCCAATGCATCCCACCTAGGAGGAAGTAACTGTTCCACATGTGTTCATGACCCGTCCAGTCTTAAGTCTGGTTTCCCCCTGGTATATCCCTCTCATCACCTCCACTCCTTACACTCTAGTCCCCTCTCCTCCACCACCACACCATCCCTTTCCCACCCTATTTACACTTATGGTTTCATGCTCCCCAATGAACCGCTGCCACATGCCTGTAACTGGGTGTCTGTTGGGGGACCCTGTGACAAGCGATTTGCCACATCAGAGGAGCTTCTAGCCCACTTGCGTACCCACACAGCCCTACCAGGGATGGTGGACAGTAAGCTGCTGTCAGCCTACCCTTCATCTGTTTCATCTTCAGCATCCTGTCACCTTCACCTGCCTCCACACAGCAGCCCAGGTACTCTACCCAGTTCTTTCTCCCTCAGAGGCTCCCCAGGTCTAAGCCTAGCACGGTACCATCCCTACAGCAAATCCCACCTGCCTGGTGCGCCAGGTCTGCCCATGCCCTCCCTTACATCCTCTTCCGCCTATTACTCCCCATATGCCCTCTACAGTCAGAGACTGGGCGCAGCCTCTGCACTTGGATACCAGTGATGTTCGTAGGGGCGTTGACGCCTACGGATTTCAGGCACCAGCTTAGACTCTTCAGAGCGAGTGTACAAACTGGGGTCCGGGTCTTCGTAGGGCATCACTGCTGCCAGGACAAGCACCTGTTAGCTTCGGGATTGAGAATGACTCTCTAAAGGCAACAGAGCAGCTGACGGATTGTCTGCAGCACAGAACTTACAGAACAAACTCCAGTATTTGGTGTGAAGCAGAGCTTGAACATTGGGGAAATTGTGTTGTCTTTTTTAAATAACTTTTGGTTGCTTTTTGCTATTCTTTTTCTAAATTTGTCAGAATTGAAAGTCTATACTGTATTTATTTTCACTCAAGCGCTTGGTTTTCATCTATGGGGGAGGTAAAAAAAATATGCTGTCCAAATGAGTATATATGTGAAAAGATAATGATGAAAGTATAGTTTCTTCAATGCCTATTAAACACTTTACAAATAAAAACCCTGCACATAGATGGATTTTATTCTGGGGATTTTTGTTTTTTCTTACTCTCTGCTGTTGTTTTTCTCCTCTGGATACTCAACTGTACATTCAAACTCTGCATGTCTGTAAGAAATCCTTAAAAATGTCATTATTTTTATTTGTAAATAAGCAAAGATGTCATATTTTTTCAGTCTTTGTCAGCAATTTGGGCTCAATGATGCGGGTGTTACAAAGATAAAATTAAAAATGGTCTTAAATAAAAAAAGGTAAATGATGGCTGTGCTATCCAAACAACAGGGAGGGTCCTATTTTGTTTAATAAATAATACATGATTCTGACTTTGTTCTTTCTTCATTGGATTCTCTATAAAAAGGAGCATCTTTGGTTTGGAGATCAATCTTTGCAGACTGCTGCACTGCACTTATCTAGGCCTATCCTTCATTATGGCTGTTAGAGCCACAGTACATGTAGCAACGTGCAATATTTCATGGCTCATATCAGCTGTCAGCTCTGTCCCACTGAGGGCATGCTGGGTCACATTAGTCCTGTTAGCTGCTCTCTGAAGACTTTCATGCCTCCTCTTCTCCTCCATCACCCGCTCTGCTTTTGTTGTTGTGAGTGCAGCTTTTAATTGCTGATTCCTGTTTGTGGGGCCTAAAAGGAGCCTCCTCAGCAAAGTGGAGTTGCCGCCAGGTCACTGGGACTCTAATAATGACCTGAGGGAGATGTCGACCCAGGATCTCTTGCGCTCTGACGGATTGGCCTGCAACACAAAGGCCATGGCTGACAATGGGGGGCGGTTAATAGAGAAATATTCATCAAAGTCCTGACACCTCCCCCGAGGAGTGCAGGGCTTTTTTACAGAAACCACAAACATGGAGGCTGCAGTGTCTTGGTGCTTAAGAGCCATTTTCTGCTCCCTCTGCTGCTCTGTGGTTTACTGGAGTCAGCATTCCCAGGTCAGACTTAAAAACTAATTCACAGGAAAGAAGTGGGTTCATTCAAAGCCACACCAGTGCTTTTAGAAGAGAGTTGGTATCTCCATAATGTGTCTGTGTCTTATTCTCTATTTGGCTGACAGGGTGTAGGAGGCACAGAATGAAGTGGCCGTAGTCTCACAGGCCACTATTGACCCGACTCCTAGACTCCTCCACTCTCGCGGTTCATTAGCACTCCAGACAGGGGAAAGGCGAGCACAGGTGTCACTTGACAGGACCATTAAGAAAATGGATGACCCTCCTAAACCACATTCCGCCCCTGCCACACTGGCAAGGTCACGCTGTCCCGATTCCTACTCAGCTCGGCTCTCTTGGACACAGCACTTAGTTTTCCTCTTACAGAACTAGAACTATGCAGGAAACTTGGACTTTGGAAGAAACTCAGTTTTCTGTCATATCTTTTTTTTCTTCTGATATTGTTGATAAAAATGTGTTGACAAAATAGGTCAAATGGAATCTGCTTCTAATTTTAAATTGGACAAGCTGAGTGTATTTGTCACTCAGGCTGTGCCACTAGAAATAAAGTGTGCTGTGTTGCCCCCTAAGGACGGGTTTGTGAAGTGCAAGTGAAATCCATCAAGGGAAGGACAGTGTTTTCAGTTTTCTCATCACAGAGGATCAAAGATATTTGTTTTGAGAACTTTTATCATTAGCTTTTAATTGAACATTTTAATCTAAGTAAATCAAATGAAAAGAAACAGAAATCTCTGAGGAGAGTGAAATTAGTCTTTCCAGAACCTGCTCTACTGTTATTTTGGTGTGCTTTGGATCCTTGGATCATTTTGAAATGTAAAAATCCTCCTTCTTTTCAGTTTTCCCACAAAAACCTGGAGATTATTCCTGGAGATTAAGTACTATATTTTATTAGACACCTTTTCTCCTACTCAGTCATTATACTATGTCTTTTAACTTAACGTGACTTAAACATATTGCTCAATATCATCCTACTTCCCACAGTTTCTCTAAGCAATAAGAAAATACCAGATTTTTGGTTCACATTTAGAGTGATATTCCCTGCAGATCCCTGCTGACTCCTGACTTTTTTCAACAACTTTTGACAGATGTTCAGATCTGGCACTGTTGCGCCATTTCATCTCAACTCCGTGAGGAGTTTCTATATACCAAGGAATGCTAATCTTGTTTCTTTCCTTAAACTGATTACCAATCAAAAACGAGATCCAGTTGATGCAGTGTGTCAACCGTGTTTGGCATATTGCTGTGAACTATTTTATTAAATTCCTACCATTTTATTTATGTAATTATTTTTACCATCAATTTCGGGCTAATTAAATATTTCTTTATATGTTCCAGCTTAAAAGAGCTTTGGTTGGTGGCTCATTAAAAAACAAATACAGTCTAAAATTGTTATTTTGTCACATCACAAATCCAGGTATTTTACAACAGTGGGTAGATATTGTTGTTGTAATGTAAACACATGCTGTTGTCTATGAAACAAGTTGTTATAAGTTGTAAATGTTTATGGTTTGAAGAAAGGGCACATTGACTGCAATCTGATAATGATTCACACTGAAGGTCACACAGAGGGGAGAAGTTTCAATCTTGTTGGGGAGGAAGAATTAATTTCACTGCTGCCAGTTTGTGCTCGTTCATCAAATGCCTTACTATTCTCCCTATCCCCAAACTCATCAATCTCCTCCATCTATCTACCCCATTCATCCCCCCGCCCTCAGCCCACCCCACATACACATACACACACTGACAGGTTCTGGCAGCTGAGTCAACACCCTCACACTCACACTGTTTATGTTGCCTGTGTAAAGCTGTGTGTGTGTGTGTGCATGTGTGTGTGTTCAGCTCGAGTTTTATGTCCAAGTAGGGTGACACATGTAAGACTGAAATAAATGGAGACACAAATGTTAATATACCTTGAAAAAAGTGAACAATTTTACAATAAATTTAGGTCATGCATTAAAATAAGACACTAAAGTAGTTACGCACTATAAACAGGACACATCTGAAGAAAATATAAAAGTTTAAATAAATACTTTAAAAATAATTATAACCATGCCTTAATTCACTACTTCATAATACAATAACACAATGAAAAATAAGGGCAGAGGCAACCACAGAGTCACACCCCTTTTTTAAAAAATAAAAACAAATGTAATTCTTAATAGTGCTGAAAATCAGAGCAATAATGCTGCTGTGAAATAAAGTGTAACTTTAACTACTGAAGTGTAACTCTTATAAGTACTCTCCAGCAGTTATGAAATACAGGTTTATATATATATATACATATATATAAGAAGTGACAAACAAAGAAATTGTACGTATAAAAGAGAAGAATATTTAATGAAAATGAATTTTTTATCCCTCCTTGTAAATGTCATTAAAATGAGCTTTTCCTAAAAATATCAGCTTTGTCTATAAAGAAACTGTTATAAGTGAGTCAAAAATAATGATGCTTTAGATAGCAGCAGAATGATAGCAGTAATCAGAGGAGCAGTGTCAGGAGGAGGTGCTGACGGTGATGAAGGAGGACTAATATTTTCCCCTTGGCGAGCGCCACAGCAGAGATGGTCCACTGTGAGCGCCACTGTGAGGTCTTGAGCAGCGGCTGACAGGCTGGGTGATTAATGACGACAGGGTGTGGAGCTGCTCTTCAATTAGACGCCAGCTCTAGCCTGGCTCACCAGCGCTGCTGACAGCCAGGACAGAGAGAGAGGGAGAGAGACAGAGAGACTGAGGGAGAGAGGAAGAGAGAGAGAGCTCTCCAGAACAAAACATTAACCTCAGCACCATGGCTACCACCTCTGTGTTTAACATCAGGACACAATTCAAAGCCTCCAGCATCCAGCAGTGACCGCAGTGTTAAAGCAACCCAGATGGCCTGGACACATCCTTCATCAGGGCCTGTCATACAGACTCTGCTTTATTTCTGTGCCTGACTTTCTAACACGCCTGTTTCAGCTCCTCTCTCCTTCACATTGGTGAATAGGGAAACTGCAGCACTGCCTCTGACAACAATAACAGTTATATTAAAGTCTTCCAGGTTGGTGGGCAGACCGTGTCGTAGTTGCTTCCTCCCGCACTTACATGAATGGTATGTTTGTCTGGTTAGATGGTCATGTTTTTGTTTGATTTCTAAGACCTGGTCACTGCAGTTTGTCAAAGAATGAATAACAACCGAGGACGAAGGCTGTTGTTCTTCATCTGAAGTTGGAATCCATCCATTTAAACCCAAGAGTCAAAGTTAAATTCAAACGAGGTAAAACTTCAGTTCCTCAAGCAAGTTAGCATGGTGCAGGACATTATGAAGCCAAAATGTTTTATGTTTTAACTTTAATAAAACATGTTAACAGAAGAAGTCATGTAGCGTTCGTTATGATCAATTAATATAACCGCTAATCTATGTAATTGTTTATCACAGCAGAACAGCAACAGCCTAGTGTTCATAGTGTGAAAGTATTTTATTAGTTTTTTATTTACTTATCAAGAATGCAAATATAAAAATAAGCTCAAAATCGTGGTTTAAAAATATCCCCCATTCAAATCACTGCAGTTGTGTCATCACTGTTTTTCTCCATTTCTCCATTTTAATAAGGTATCCATCATTCTACTGACAGCTAGTGTGACACTTAAAAATCCCAATGCTGAGTCAGTAGAAGCAGCGTCAGCATTTTATTCTGCCATGCAGAAACATTCTAAACATTTCAAATTATCTATATTAATTTTAAACATGTGTAGTTCAAGCTTTTGGCCTATTGTTGTATTGTTTCCTTCGTTGGTTTGACTAATTTATGTGAAAATAATAAAGACAGCTTGTCATCTCAGTTGAAGATTCGGATAAAGAAATACTTCTTTTAATTTACTTTTCAGCCGGCGCTGACCTTGGCAAACTCCACTGGCCAGGAGGTGGAACGCTGCCCAGAACTGCTGTGGTCTCTCCAAGTTCCAGTGGTGTGAGTGAGCACCGTTAATAGACATACCCTCCCTAACCACCAGTGGAGAAATGAACGTTTCAATTACAGTACATTGCGCTGCTAATAGCGCTTGGACCGTGAGTCCAGCTGGATTCCATTTGTTGCCTTGCTGGGAGTTAGCGGTGGGGATGTCACGAGCATTTGGAAATGAACGTGCCTTGGCAAGGAACAGGCGGCGCTGCTGACAGTCGTGATTCATGCTCTGATTGACAACTTGTTTTTTGCTCTTCCACTCCAGGACAGCCTGTGGTCGTAATGTACTCACTTTAAGTATCATCGACCTTGTGTCTGTTTTGCATCTCCTCTCAGATCCGGCCTCTAGACTCATAGGCTGCCATTATGATGATTGCACTGGTCTTAAACCACCTCCACTACAGGCCAGCATACACAGTTAGT